GCACGCTGCTGGAGAGAGCATGGGAAGCATCCACCCAAAGCACAGCCATGCCCGCTCTCTCTCCAACTCCAAAACAATTCCCAGCTTTCCATCCCGCTTCCAGCTGAATTGGGAGGTTCCTTTCTGCCGCTGCGGGTTGAACCGGTGCTGTTCCTAAAACCTTTTCCCTGCAAAAGCTTCCAGACCTAGAGAGGGAAGAGCACTCGTCCACCTGCAGCCCCAGGGCCAAGCAGGCACCTCTGAGCGGGACGCTCCAGCCCAGCCGGCAGCAGGGAGCCCCCGGGCTCTGGCGTCAGCCCACGGCTGCAGGCACGCTCTGCCCGCTTTGCTCCGCAGCCCGGGGACCAGCGCCCGGAGCCCATCCCAGCCTGGGGGGGCAGCGCCCAGAGCCCATCCCAGCCTGGGGGGGCAGCGCCCAGAGCCCATCCCAGCCTGGGGGGGCAGCGCCCAGAGCCCATCCCAGCCTGGGGGGGCAGCGCCCAGAGCCCATCCCAGCCTGGGGGGGCAGCGCCCAGAGCCCATCCCAGCCTGGGGGGGCAGCGCCCAGAGCCCATCCCAGCCCGGGGGGCAGCGCCCGGAGCCCATCCCAGCCGCCTGCCAAACCAGCGAAGGAGAGGTGCGGGACACGCTGCCCAAAGCTGGAAGGCGGGCAGTGGGGGAGAGAGGCTGAGGGGCAAGAGGCGCTTTAGCATCAGCCCTGCACGGCGGCAGCTCTCTGCCTGCAGGCTGGGATCCCACGCGGGCAGCAGAGCGCTGCCTGCTGCTGCTCCAGTCTGTAGGCTCCCACCCCACTGCTGGGCTCCAGCTGTGAAGCGAGGGACTGGGACCCACACAGCGAGGGACCGGGACCTGCACAGCGAGGGACCGGGACCCGCACAAAAGGCAGCGAAGGCCGAGAGCGTCAGCAGGGCAGCCCGAGGGCTCCGCTGCTTGCTCTCCCTTGGCTATGGCTCTCTTCATCCAAGCTTTTCATTTCTGCCCTTGAAATTATCTTGTCAAGAGAGCCTTGGAAACATGCAGCACCATTTGCTCTGCACGTTAGTGGGGAATATTTGTTTTTGTTCACTGACTGTGGTGTCAAGACTCAGGGAAGTAACTCTGGGAGCAGAAGGGATGCAGCTGGGAAAGA